GGGCGAACATTCCTAGAACCCTTACAGATCTCTCGAAACTTGTCTCTCGGGGCACACAATTCAGGTGTAACCTTGGCCGTAGGGCTCCTTAGTCTGGATGTGAGGCCCTTCTGGATTCTGAGCAATTCACTGATTAGCAAGGAAAGTGGGCTAAATGGGGTCCCTCTAGGCGCTCAACCGATTTTCCTTTTTTTTTNTTTTTTTTTCAGGAATATCCCTAGTGATGCATCAACATCAAAAAGTCTCATGTGTTTGTTTTATGAAAGTGAAGGAGGACGTAATGGGCCATGGAAAATGGTGAGCAACTCATTTTCATATCATGCTGAAATTGATTCAACCTTCGTTCCTGAAACGAGTTATCTCAGCTATGAAAGGTTTTTTTTAGTCGGAATAAAACCATGAAAAATGCATTTATTCCTTTCATATTGAGTTTTGCTGTTCTCGAGCCAATGAAATCACTGAGCCAAGCCTAAGCCTGAGCATTTCAGCAGTACATTTCTCGCTCAGAAAACTTTCGAAGCCTCTAAGGAAATAATCATTGGTGGGGGAGAGATTTGACAGTTATTGTAAATGACTAGGGGACTATTCCGTGTTCCACTTTTCTCAGCTTTTATATCGCCAACTCCCCTTAATGAGGGCGTGGGCGTTGAAGATAGTGGTCCCTTTTGATAAATAAAGCTAAGCCTGTATTATCCCCTGATCGAATCAGACAATCCCTTTCAAGAAAAAAAACGGACAAGGACAGGAACCATGCCCTGAACTTGCACTCAAACCTTAAATGGATATCAATCAATACCAGATAGTTCAAATTATATGATATGTACTTTAACCCATTGCCAATCGCTTAATAATTTTGCCTGAACTATCCTCGAACTGTTAGGGTTGTACTCTTGTAATTAAGATATTGGTTCTTTCTATAGCAGCAAATTGTCAAGCAATATTTTTAAGAGCCTCAAATTTATCAGAAATTTCAAAACACCAATTCTTTTTAAAACAACAAACTTGTTACGGTTTTGCTAGAACTCGTCCAAATCTTTTTCTATTCATTGTTTTCTTTTGGCTAAAGCTGTTGGTACGATGTGAAAGGCAGTGTTGATATGCTGCCCAAATTTTGTTATTTGACCCTTTGATTTTTTGCACACTTTCATAGAAAGACCGGAGGAAATGCTTCCAGAGTTGTAGGGCTTCATTAATTAATTAGTCAGTCGAGATAATCTTTTCTAATCCCATTTTGGACTCTATTCTTCGATTTTCTGGTTCTGATTAATTTTCGAAAACTCAGTCAAGGAGGCATTACAACGTTCTAGTTCTTACGCGGACATGCCAAGCATTGTATTGTTAAATAATTTTGTTCGTTTTTTCGTTTTTCTTCAACTTTTTTTTACAAAATATATCTTCGAATGCTATGGGACACAAATAATTTATGTGGAAAAATTCTAGCAATGTAAAAGCACTAACAATGGGGNATGCACGGTCAGGGGTTCGAATCCCGGATTGATGCCCGCCTGTGCCAACCAAGCCTTCCATCCCTCTGGGGTCGGTGAATTGGTACCAGACTCGTCTGGGAGGATAAAAGCACTGACTTGTACATCGGCTGGCCACCGCAAGTCATTGTATAGGCCGCATACGCACTCATTACGCCACTACGATCCTGAATGGAAGTCGAGTGCGGGGGCGCATCCCTCAGACGGGATTGATTAGCGCCAAAAACTTTATCCTTTATCTTTTATTCCATCGTTTATTAACCAAAATATCAAATAGTAAGTAACAAATGTAACAAGATCTAATTGCTCTAATTCCAATATTTTACCAGATCAATGGCACTGATACGTTCCCCAATTGTTCCGCTATCGATATCCCGGACGTCTTCTCTATCGAGTATATGTTCGAACGACCACAGCCTATACGAGTCGAACTGTGAGTTTACAGATATATTTAGTTCCTTTTTCTTTCCAAGTACCAAATAAAAAAAGTAGTATTACTATAATTATCCAGCATAGAATTTAACAAGGGTGAAGGTTGTATAGTGGAAGTTGTGTACTAGGACCACGTTTGGGCCAGTGATCGAATTCTTGATATTTGCTTGGGCAAACCAAGCAGTCTATCCCTCATGCGGGGCGCATCCTTTAGATAGGATTGTTCAACGCAAAAGTTACTCCTTTACCCTCCCACGAAATAGGGAAAAAAGATTTATAATAATTTAAATAGGGCGGAGGTGGTGTAGTGGCAAGTGGCGCACTATATCACACGCACGGTCAGGGGTTCGAATCACGGATCGATGCCCGCCTAGGCCAACCAAGCCTTCCATCCCTCCACGGTAGGTGAATTGGTACCAGACTCGTCTGGGAGGATAAAAGCACTGACTTGTACATCGGCTGGCCACCGCAAGCCATTGTATAGGCCACATACGCACTCATTACGCCACTACGATTCTGAATGGAAGTCAAGTGCGGGGGCGCATCCCTCACACGGGATTGATTAACGCCAAAAACTTTATCCTTTATTATCTTTTTAATAATTCAAATCCGAAGAGGAGGATCCTAGGGCTTGGGAATGGGCAAATGCGTAGGGGTGGGTGCGAGTCTGATGGGTGCCAGTACCATAATGAGCTCATCAAGACTCGCAGTAGCGAATGAGATGAAACCCTTCTATTGGCAACATTCACTTACGATAATCTTTAAGCCTTTTGTTTTCACAAACTAATCAAAATTCTGAAATAGATGAATAGATGAATAGTGGTGAACAGAGCGGTGGGACGACATTTCACGAAAGTTTCCCGTTTTGATTAATGATGAATTGAATTATTCAGGGAATCGGTAGTGCTTTTCGTGCGCTTGCGGGACATGCATTTCTTATTAAATTTTTGTCTGGGTGCTGCTTTAGCACCAACATCCTTCAACGAGAAGTCAAAACTAGAAATTCGTGTCAACATTAAATGGATTATTCGGACCAAGTGGAGAAGGTGCTTACCTAGCAAAACGACGAGATGCACACGTATGCTGTGGGAGTTCGACCACCCATTTCCCCATCCTGGAGGTTTAGATGCAAAACTGTTTACAAAAAAAGCCCAAAGAGCCTTGAAGCAGCTAACGGCAATGCAACAATCATCTGAATGGCCAACTCCCTTCCAACTAGAAGCGCACTTTGTCTTATCGCTACAAAAATCCCTTTCAAGAAGTTGATTGGCCTTAATGAAATAATAATTAGCACTTACCAAAGGTACACCCTAGATAAACCACTTCTTTAAATTCTTGTTGTGCCCACAGGTTTTCGCCCTTTATCATTCGAATTTTTAATTCGAGTTTCAAAAATAAACATGTGTTGCTTCTCGCTGAATATTTGATCTCAAAAATAATCTTCTTTCCCTTAATGAGAGCGATTTAAATACGCGTTAGAAAACCCTCTTGGAATTGCTCGGCACTCCAGGGTACTGAGATCCTAGAAATACGTCAGATCGGTCCTCTCCACACAATTCCCTGATTAGCAACTAGTTCACTAAAAACCTAACCTGATGCAAACTTTCCGGAAAAGGAAAAACTTTGGCATGAGCATAGATAGGCTGACATCAAGGGAATTAAATAGGTAATATATAAACTCTAGTAACCCTGTGTGTACACTGGAAAAGAAAGAATTGGGAGCACTGCCATAGATTCATATACAACTCTCTTCGTATGGCAACCTTTATTAAGGCCTACACACATCCCCACATGCGCAAGCACACAGGCACATGGGAAGGCACGACACCTTATTTGTTCATTTGATGGAAGCATAGTCGATTATTGATCATTATGCTAGAAGTTTCTCAGAAAATTGACATAATTAAATTTAATTAGTTCTCTTCGATCAATACTCTATCGAATCCATTACAGTTGTGAATGGTCAGAGAATGAGGTGACGCCACTTGGATCCGCTTATTTCCTCATATCAGAGGTGGTCGCCCTAGGAGTTGTCGTCAGAAATTTGAAGTATGTTAGAGATTGATGCTTTTTAAAAGTGCATCGTCATTACAAGTATTGTCATTCAGTAATGAAGGCACTGGTGCCGGTGTTGGTCAGATGTCCGTTGGCTCCACTGCTCGACCGAAGCCTCCACCTTTGCTGCTACAGTTTGAAGGAAAGAACTTCTCGAAAAAATTTGTCCCGGATTCCGCTGTGGTGAGTTCTCCTTGCTGTAGGAACGAACATCTCCTATACTACTTGGAACACTGTTTTGTTTCCAAAGTCGTGTTGATCCTTATTCGTGCCTCGAGTTTTCAGAGCCACTTCCCGCAAATATTTCGTGGGTAATCAAGTTTGATAAAAGAATTCCATGTTTTATAGCCCTCGAGTTACCTCAAAGGTAAAGGAATCATGGAATCAGCGGCTCATTAAAATGATGTTTGAACAGTAATGGAATTGAAATTGAATGGAATTTTTTTTTGTGATATCACCTTCCTAGGTGAAGTTTCCTCTAGCCGATTAGAAAAGTGAGGTGAAGAAGGCCTAGTATAGGTACACACAACGGATGCGCTGCTATATTACGGGCCTTGGCTAGCATCTAAATATTTCTCTGGACTCAAAATTTACTCTCAGGAGAGATATCTGGTATTTCAGTTGTCTTTCGAAGTGGTCCGAACGGAAGCGGATGGTGAAAAGACGATGCTGTACAAAAGTGAACCGCTGAAAAATGCTTCTCGTGTGACTTGGAAGGCATTCACCCTACCCATCCAGGAGATCAGCGACGAAGCCAGGTGGGCGGACCTTATACGTATCTTTTGTGCTGTACGAGGAAATGAACAACCAAGGAGCACCCTATAGTACCCTATTACGGTCATAATGGGGTGTTATTTTTTGGTCCTCCATGAAGTTTCAAGACTTTACAGGCAACTAGAGGTCATCTGCTACTACAAAGACGAGAAATACCGTAACAGTGTAGCTGGCAGTTTCATCACAACCCATTATGAATTGCGAACCATTCAAGAACCCTTCACGGTCAGTAATGACTAATTCTTTGTTACGTTATTAGGAAAAACTGATATGCTGTGCTTGCAGCTGACGAATCCCCTTTACAAGGGAGGCCAGAAAGTTTGCGCTCAGTTCGATGTGATCAAACGCTCCGAGCTTACTATCTGCTCCTTCCTGGATTACATTAGTTTCGGGTACGTCTTGGAATGTTGGCTCAATTAAATTAATTCAAGTCCTCAGAAGTTATTTTTGCTGAGTTTACAAATATGTATCTTATCGAAGTTGCCCATACATATTCGGCATCATCTGCTTTGTATTATCTCAAGTAAACGATTCCTGCAGTCATTACTGTATTACTCAAGAAAAGAAAAAACTCCGGAAAACACGAACGCCTGATTGGGCAATAAAATTTTGGTCAAGGGAAGCGGACAAATAAGAGAATGGGAATAAAGTTACAGTGAAAGGAATAATTTTCTAATAAGCGCTCTCTTTTTTGGATGCGCGACTAACTCGACTTCTATTCCAAATTGTAACGGCGTTTTGAATGCGTCCGTGGCCGATACAATGATTTGTGCTGTCCAGGATATGTACAAGTTTTTGCATCCACCCAGACGCGATTGGTACCATTTAGGATTGAAGGCATGCTTGACCTGGTCGAGCATCAATAGGGATATGCCCCAGCTGAACCCCTACTGAGTTTCAGCTGGGCCTTAGCACCAACTGAGCAATAAACGGAAGGTGATTTCGAGGCAGAACAGAGTACCGAATGCGATGACTATCCGCAAGTATGGTGAAGGTGGAAGTGATCAACATCTGTCCCGCTCCTTTCGTTATGTTTTGATTTGTTCTTCTTATACCTTCAACATTAAGCTTATCTCTTCTCCTCCTGTGGGATTTAATTGATCCTTCTTATTACTTTCACGGCAAATGATATGTGATATAAACTCCATAAAAATTTTTTCATACATCTTCGTTTTTATCGTTTCAGCACAGTTTTGCATTTCGCATTTGCTATCGACTTCTCTGATTGCGAAGGGGCGCAGGACCATGAATCGCAGATGAACTTCACCAACAACGTCGAATTCGCCATTCGATCAGTTGGCGAAACCTTCGCTGACTACAATCGGTATCTTTAGGCTTCAACTGGTAGCGCTGAGTTGACTTCTATAGGTCTGTTGCAGAAATAACGTCTACACAGCATATGGTTTTGGAGCTCGAATCCCACCCTTGTATCGAGAATCGCACGAATTCTGCCTGGTTTGTTGGCTCTTATGCTTCCCACATCGTCTACATAGTCTAATCCCACTCGTTACAGAACCTCGAAACGGATCCCACCTGTGTTGGTGTCGATGGTGTGGTAACGGCATTCCGAAATACCTACCTACAAACCCAACCGTGCCCTAGCGCACATTTCGCCCATGTGATTTATCATATTGCCAAGTAAGAACGCCTTAACAGACATTCAAAATACCAATGTCAGACTATACCGAAAAATCGAGGGTTTTCAGAATCGCCCAAATCACAACTACCCGATCCGAACCAAATCGACCGCAGTACCATATTTTGAATATTATTACTCGAGGAGCAATCGATGATGTCAGGGAAACAGTACAGGCTGCAATATTCTCTAGTAAAACCCCCATATCGGTAATATTCACAGGTAGGTGGAATGTCAATTCCTGAATTTGTTATAAGAGCTGTCCTACCAGATCTCGTAAGTTACCGGGACGTCTGTACACACCCTTTCAATTCAGGAACTATCACATTTTTAGGTATCGGTGATAGAAACCTGGACGAGGTTGAACGACTTGGAACCGGTGGTAAACGATTGATTTTTCATGGAAGGAAAACGGACCGGGACAACTTACATGTGCGTGCTTCAGGAGTTTCAGCTTTTCTTTACTTGATTGCTCAACTCTTAATCAAAGTAATTCATGCAAAGAGAGGTCCACTAGGCTTGTACTGAATACTACTGCAGAAGCTGAAAAGACGGCAAGAAACCCCTAGATCCCTGTTCGTATAAGTTTTTAGGGATTGCAACTGTCTGGACAAAGAGAAAAGCCTCGAAGGGTTCAGTTGAAATGTTGCTGGGTTTAATCCAGATTCAGTTGAATGACTATTTCCATACCTCGCAGAAAATGTACTCCTCTTGCAGTCTAATGGGCTTAAGGCACCACCCAAGTTATCCTCTTGCTCACTGCTTTAGATCCTCAGTCCTAGCCTTCCTCTATAGTGATGCTATGTACTATAATAATTCAAACTCTACACGACAATTTCTATGGGAGTTTTCTTTGCAGTATGTCAATATGACACGAGTACTGCTCGAATGCGATGGATCTGCTGATGAATCGAAGTTCACACTATCGGAAAAGTCGCTTTACCAAATCCCACGACAAGTTGCAACATATTTCACTAAGAATGGTATTCTGCCAGTAGAAAGGCACGACACTCCTGCGGTAGGTTACCTATTTACAAACAAAAACTCATGCTGTATCGTATGTTGTTTAGCATGAGAGTCCATTGGACACTGTGTATCGAGCGTCACCAGCACCAGACGTTGATGAGTCTGAACCCTATGGACGGGCTGCTATAGATCACGGTAGGTTATGAACTACTGTAGTGAGTACTGTAATTGAACACTTGGTACCCGTCATTTTTAATTCGAAAAATCGAATGGAGGTTAAGTCCATAGTCCCTATACGTCATTTACTAGTGAAATTGTTTTGCATTCAGGATCCCCTGAAGTACCGGTAACTCCAGTTCCGTCTTATATGCAGGAAAACTTCGAGACCATCCAAAGGTACATCATTCACCTTAAGGTTTCTACCATTCAGATGACACTATAAGCCACGAAAAAATTCGTTCATGAAGTTTACTGGAGCCAACCACTTGCAACGGCTTAAGTCGACATTAATATAGATTCGGCCCCACTCTCAGTCCCTTTCACATATGAGTACTTTCAGAAGACCGCCTGCTCTTAACAGAAGTCTCCGATCCATGACCATAACCGGGGATGCTGGACGACGGTTTTGACTGACGTGGAAAATACTCTGTTGAATTCAACCATATATGTTCTATATGTATATGAAAGGTGTCTGTATACAGTTATACAGCTGAATGGCTTTTCGGTTAATGCGTGTCACTGCAACTAATTTGATCATTTGCCAAGAGTTTGATGACCGAAATGTCCACATTGACTTTTCATGAACACGATCTCTCACTATGTGCTCTTGTAATTTTCCAGTGTTTTCATCAGAATGCCTGAAAATGTCTTCAAAAAAAGATTTTCATGATTCTGTTGTCATTTCTTTAGTATACACAAAATTCCAAAGTTCGTCTTGTAAAGAAAAGGCTCCTTGGAAGGCGCGTGTATGAAACTTGGTAAAGAACGTCCTCAATTTGCACTGATTTGGTTTCCAAAAAAGGGGTATAGCAAATATGTAATATGTCGGTAATTAAAGCAGGTAAATGTGATGTAGTAGCAAGCGGTCAATTACCACAGCTCCATAGTCCCGTATCAAATACTAAACCGACACTCGCGCATAACAACATCACGGATTGTAATCCGGGATCGATATTCGCCTAGACCAACCAAGCCTTCCATCCCTCCAGAGTCGCTTAATTGGTACTAGACTTGTCTGGGAGGATAAAAGCACTGACCTGTATATTGACTAGCCACCGCAAGTCATTGTATAGGCCACATACGCATTCAATACGCCACTACGATACTGAATGAGAGACGAGGGTGTCGGTGCATCCCTATGAGGGGATTGAATAACGAACCAAGACTTTATCCTTCATCCTGCTAGGATGAATAAAATATATACCTCATATTTATCGAAAACTGTGCCTTTGACTTGCGCGTTTGTGATCAGTGTGCGAAATTATAACCAGCCTCAACTACTGATTTTCCATCTGATTACTAATAATGAGAGAGATAAGCAATAGAAAGAGCGGCTGAAAATATTCTAGGAGAAACAAAACATAAAGAAATGGCAGTTAAATTCTTACACCCATTTATATCCCCCAATTCAAAAGTATTTGGAGTACGGGACCGTGTTTGTTGTTCAAGAGTTGCAGCCGGGTACACACGGTCCCTTGTAATCCCAATTTTCCTGAACGCAACTCTACCTGAAAAGCCCTCCCATGAAAGTTGTCACGAAAATTAAATGCACAACATGGTTACGCGACAGTATAACCTGTACTGTTATGAGACTGTCCTTTATGAAGAACAAAAACACAAGGATGATCTTTCAAGGAAGCTGCCGACCTCCATCGACTTTCTTTCTAATTTTTTTGTTCGCCTATGTCAAAAACAAGCTGTATCCGTGACGTGTTCCCTATACTTACTGCTATGCAAGCGGGACAGCTACCATCAATCGCTGCGCAACGTCATAAGACGACTTATAAGCAGCTCTTAGTTACAGCCCAGCCTAATTCTGCTGAATCGTGTACTTCGGCGCTACATGTGCAGACCGACTCATCGGCTTCCTAGCAAGCTTGTCCAGACCCTTGCCCCCTATTTTTACTCCTTTAGGTAACAATGTGCTAGTAAGAAAGCTACAAACGCATACATAAATGTCCCACCGAGCTTTGCTTTCACTTTGTGCATAACTGAATATTTTCTCCTTTCGAAGCCAATTCAAGATATCCTTTCAACAAGCAACATACTATCAGTGATGGGCCTTGTACATGCTGATTATATTTGTCTTAATTGTATGCTTACCAAACTATCCGCAAGATAAGGAAGCATCGCCCTGTAGAGCCATTTTCTGTTAAAAATAAAGGCAGAAACTGAATAGTAGTGACTTAAGTCTGAATGTAATAGGTTGATGCATAATTATTGCAGATTTTTTTGCGGCTTCCTCTCTCTCGATACAATTTGAGTATTGAATTCGGGATTCAATAGAAATGATCTTCTTGCTTGACTTAACGGAAATATGCCTCGGAAGACATCTACATGTTCGCCACATCATGCGCCACATCATGAAAAGTTGGAAATTGGTTGACTATTTGGCGATCTCAACGAACTTTTGGCGATGGAATAGGAAAGGAAAGGGATCTGCTCTCAATTCCGCAATATTCACCGAAAGAACTATTACTAACTGTTCGTCGAAAAATTGGCTAGCGAACAGAACTTTCGACGAAGTGGATGGCTCGATGGCCGACATCGAGGCATAGATCGCCTCCAAAAATCGAAACTTTCTTGCTTGTTAAATCCAACTGCCCAGCAAATGGGAAGCAGTGCTTGACGTAGATGATGGTTAAGTTCCAGAGTAACGAAATTTGCTGAAAAAAATCCGCAATAATTACGCACCAACCTAATAATTTACTAACAGGTGGGAGATGTTCGTGAGGCTTTCGTTCCTCGGGGACAGGGTAGCCAGCTGGCGTACAAGTGAATTCTGTGTCCATCTAAACGAGTTTGGTCGAACCCGGAGGATTGAAAGAAATCGATTGTAAGGGCGAATTTCGATCCGATATTAGGCCACAGGTTCAAATTACGAGTACCATCAAAAAACCACTACAACTCTGATTAAGGTTTCAATTTTTTGAGGGATTTTTAAACATCGATTACTTTACCCCTTTCTACTATTGTCGAATTCGTCAAATTTAGATGTAACTTGATGGGCTCAAATTTTCATACGAGTACTCCGCATTTGTATGTAGGTACGCACGAGTACTCCTCATTAACAGGTACGCAACAACCGGTTTCTCCGTTTTACCTGTATCACCTCTGGTCCCATTATTCATCGACTAGTACGGACAACGTCTCCAATCGTCTCCATCGGAATCCACTGTGATCCCTTGAGCCTTGTTCGGGTGAGAGAGACGGTGCACACTGTTTTCGTTCAGAGGTTTTATGATGAAGTTTGATCATCGAGATGGCAGTGGCGCTCGCTTAGTCGCGAGGAATCCAGTCAGAAAGCGCCCCAACCGAGCCGTTATAACAAATTCGCCCTTTTTTCTTCTCGGTACAATCAATGAATTTGTGATTGAAGCAAAGAAAGCGAGATCAACGATTTATTCTACTCTGTAAAGAGTCATGGACTCATTGCAAAGATGATACTGGTTTGCACTGCTTTGGATCGGCAATAGAGTCTCGTTTGAGTCTCCAGAAGGAGCAGACACTGGAGTTCATTACGTTGTCGTAGCTCATGTCAGAATAACCCACACAGAAGCCCTTAGAAATGAATATCATCAGATAACTCCAGTCCAAAAATTGTGTAAAACATTGCTTACTCATGGCCTACTCAAATATATTTGATCTCTGGTGTTATTTTGTCTGGATTAGGATACAGTTCTTCTACGCTAGGTGTGTGTGTGCGTGTGTGTGTGCGTCCGCCGGGAAATTTATAACGCCTATTTTCGTGGACCTAGAGAATTCAAATATGGTAGGAGTACGGGAGGAGGTTGGGAATACTTGGGCAAGTAGCACGACCGGACTCCGTCTACAGGGGCGGGGCGCGCGCTGTAGAAATTTCGAGCTGCAAATTCACAACTCCCTGTTTACGTGGACCTAGAACGTTGAAGTTTCTTAGGATTACAGGACGCATGATAGGAACACTCATGGCAGGGGAAAGGGCCAGCTTCTGCCCGCAGGGGGCGGAGCGTGCGCGATAGAATCTTTCAACTGCAAATTCATAATGCCTGTTTACGTGAACCGAAGGAGCTCAAATTCGGTAGGATTGCAGCTTTTCGTAGTCGACGTGGGACCTAGGCATTTTGATAAGTGATGTAGGATATGACGGGATCGTAACAGCTCGGTGGCAGGAATCGATAATAACTAATAAGGGAAGATAAGGAGAATAAGTGATCACCTAGCGTCTTCTGGTTTTTTCCATAAAACTTTGACTGTTCAGTATGTTTCAATCGATAACACGGGAGGTAGAGTAGGGTGACAAAAGTGAGTGGTAAGTGCAGCGATAGGACCCTATCGTTCCAAGCCTAAGCCTACGGTAAGCAGAATAAAATTCCGTTCATTTCTTGCTATTATTACGACCGCTATCCAACTTGATCTGTGACTCAATGAAGGATCCTCTCTGGTCGATATCATTCACGACGAAATTTAACCGACTTCCAGTAAACCGGAATTATCAACTAATGACTTCTTCATGAAGGAAAAGGTACATTGAAACCGACATATGATAATGGAGTCACATCAGTCGAAACATTTGTAAGTACCGCCCAAGGCTTCGGTTGTCTAACAGTTAAATTTTTAATGGGTATTTATTTTTGAAAACGAGAGCAAAAAATCCACACTTCCAGTCAAAGACGTAAGCACCGAATTTCGTTAAGTACCATTTGCATTGCCGTGTTAGTCCTGCCTCAAAGTTCGTGTGCAGGAAACTATTATTTGTTTCAAAAAAAGGAATGGAGAGTTAGCCGAGAGCTACAATCCTGTCAAAGAAGGAGGGAAGATTGGCGTTAGTCGGGCGAACGAACTGGTACATATATCCATAGTACTGTATCGCAGGTAACTTACAACATCTTTGGTTGAAGCTAACATAAGACATGCACTTTGCACTTGTCATGTTAGTCCTAATCTTCACCAATTACTTCACATGGAGGACTATACAACGGATGAGCAACACATTGAGCGGTTAGAAAAATTTAAGAAATGGAAAAGTGGTTATGTTCAATTGGATTTCAACAAAAACAGTATTGGACCGTACCGAATCGAAGTAAGCATAGTTGCAATCCTCGGTCAAATAACACGTCTTCAAGCAATCGTGGAGAGATGCAGAAGAGATCACGTAGGTTATGTTAGGAGTGACAGTTACCACCCGACAAAAGTTAGTGAGGGTGCAGGAAGGCGATTGAGAGACCTGAAACGAACCTTTCCATGCGCCTCACGCTTCAACATTCTTGAGATCGCTGGAAGTTCGATTCCTTTTGACTGTCTATTACTGAAACGAGAGCAACTTTTGGAACTGTTTTGATTGTTCATAGGATTCTTCATGAGGATTTCTATTAACTGTGATTCTATAGTGAGAACATTTCATAAAGCTGCTTCACGGTTCTATTTCGCA